GGTGCAGGGCACTGGTCTACTGATGTCCCTTTCACACACATACGGGACATTCTCGCCCAATGTGGGGCTCGAACTCACGACCATAAGGTTAAGAGCCTTGCGCTCTACCGACTGAGCTAACCGGGCAGAAAATGTCCAGATGTAAGTTAACATTAACACATCACAATGCCATTGGGATTGGTGCTGCACACAACTTCCACCACTCTGTTTGCCCACCTACCCATACCCATGAGTACTGTTATTTATGTTAGTATGTTATGTATATATATATACATCTATCTATATATATGTTATGTTAACCTTGTATGTACTACATTATATGTACGAGGTTGGCACGTATAGGTAGTCGACAGGGATTCACTATTTTAGGGAAGAAAGAATGTACAAGGATTTCCATGCCTTAGTGGTCCTTCATGCCTAGGCACGCATTCAGTGCCATCAAGTGTTGCTTGCATATGCTGGTAAGCGGGCGAGGGTCCTGAGACTGTGCAAACCGGCTGTGGCACTCTTATGTACTACATGCAATTAGGGTTTTAGGGTTTTGTGGGGACACCGACTTCACACGGACTTCACACTCCTCCTTCACACTGCTGTGACTCCCTCCTCACAGACATGCTCTCCATGGCCAGTAGACCACCAGCTTCGGGCCTCCCACCCACAGCAGCTGCATCTGGTTATAGTGAGTGATCTGTGGAGCCGGTAAGGAGTAGACTTGATGCTTGTGGTTGATCTGGCAGATTCTATTGGATTCTGATGGTGGCCGCCCAATCCCGCAAAGCCACTGACTTTGCAGAAGCTGGCGTGGATGCAATGGATGAGGGTTCACCAAAACATGGGGGAAGTTAGGGACTGAAACCCACAATCTCCATCCTGGACATAAAACTGGAGGACGATGCCTTATAATTATCCATTAAGCCACACGACCACTGCCATAGCACATGAAAAACACCCAACACCTCATTCTGGCTGCCAGGCATGTGAGGAGTGAGTGGGCACAGCCCATCCCACAATCACGTGTACATCACCTAGGCATGCATGGGGCCATGGGCATGTTTTGCTGGGCACACAGGTATTTAGGCATGGCTGGGCGGTTGTTGGGGCAAGGATCTTATTCTCAATATTTATGGGTGCTAACCATGCCCTAATACAGGTTGGCAATCTTCACTCATTCACCCATCTCCCTGCTGTGTACTTATGTCTTTGCGTCTATTATGGCGCAGGACAGAGCACTTTACAGTTCAATATGCCAGAGCATTCATCCCTTCCTGCCTGGGTGTTATTGGCATGTGGCAAAGCACACATTACCTCGGACATGCACCTGGACCTGCTACCAACACACATGTGCTTCAGGCATATGGAACAACAAACTANGTG